CAGATGCACTTCGCTGTTCCCTCCAAATGTTTGCAGAAGCAGACTTAGAACAAATAAACATTACAAAAAAAAAAACAATAAAGAGGAAAGATTTTATTGTTTGTTTGTAAACTCAAAAAGGACTAAACCGATATTAAAAATTCCTTCATCTACAGAAAGCTATATACATTGTCAGTGACTAATATAGGTTATACATTAATTGGGGGGGGGGAAGGGGGGTTGCTAGTACTGAGGACTACCAGTATCATTACTAGCAATATACCCCACCTGTTTCCCCCTGGAAACCATCGTGTTAAATTCCTGGTGTATTCATCACGGTGGGCTAACTGACCTGTCTTTTCAGGGGGGAAAGGGATTGTTAGCAATGGACTTTGACAGCCCTGTTGCTAGCAATATGCCCTATTAAGTCAACCTCCACTTGGTTCCCCCTGGAAACCATCGTAAACAATTCTTGTTGATTTCATCACGTTGGACTAACTGACCTGCTTTATCCTCACCTATCATCTTACACTGGTGTCCCGCCGATATATACCGATAGCACGAGTGGGTTACCATTTCATTACCACCCATTAAAAAAAAGACCTGTCTTTTTATTCTCACTTATCAACCCTCGCTGGTGCCCCGACAGCGTATACCGTTAGCGCAGGCAGGGCTACCAGTTCATTATCATCCCTAAAATGATGATGATGCAGGATCTCTAGTTTATCATATTCCAACGACCTTTATAATATAGCACCTTAAGCATTATAGTAGTAAACTTATTAAAAAAAAATACAAACAATTACGAGAAAAGGTTAAGTGTGAAAACATTAAGTTATTCAGTAACACATGTTGCGACACGTTATCTCGTTCTCGTCTCATTCTCGTCTGATCCTCGGCTCGTTATCGTGTCGCTCCCGTCTCACTTCCGTCTCGCTCCCGTCTCACTTCCGTCTCGCTCCCGTCTCACTTCCGTCTCGATTTCGTCTCACTTCCGTCTCGCTTCCGTCTCACTTCCGTCTCGCTTCCGTCTCACTACCGTCTCGCTCTCGTCTCGCTTCCATCTCACTACCGTCTCGCTGTCGTCTCGCTCCTGTCTCGCTTCCGTTTCACTACCGTCTCGCTCCCGTCTCGCTATCGTCTCGCTCCCGTCTCGCTTTCGTCTCGCTCCCGTCTAGCTCCCGTCTCGCGCCTGTCTCATTCCCGTCTGTTAATAAAATAAAATTGGCGAAGTTTAACTAATCTTCATTAACAAACCGACTTAATTTGATTTAATTTAACTAAGTTTTATTTAATTTAATTAAAATAGACCTATTTTAAATCGGCTGTGTAGCCGAGACTTAAAGCGATGTACGTCGTGACCATGGCGTCGTGTAATCCACGTCAAAACGTCGGCAATAAAGAAGCAAGTATGAAGGTACTATTTAACTGCAAAGGCTTTCATATCGCCTTATGAACAACGCAAAAGTTTAATATTAACTAAAATAGACCTGAATTGGCAACTGTAATTTTTTTAAATAAAATACCTTAATTTTTCAAATATCCATAAAAATACCTAAACTGATACAGTCATACATGTAAATACAAATATTTTTATTGTGCGGTGATCGAATGCGCGATCATCGGGTGATGAAGTGATGTGAAAACCGCGGTTTTATAATGGTTGTTTTTTTTAAAGTGCATGGTTTTGAAGTGTACTAATTCTTTTACTCTTTTTAACTCTTTTTGGAAGAAAATTACTAAAAAAAATATTATTATAGGTATTATTTACCGCACCTTTGTTAGCGAGAATTGGTAATAAAGTATGTTATGCATGTACATATATGTATGTGCGTATATACATATATAATAATGAGTAGGGATATATATTTACATTATTACACGTATTACATCTCCATATTTAGTAATGATAGAATTTTCATCGTGCCTCCGATCAAACTGTTTACAACCACTCCTCTTCATCCAAAGGTTGCCTGAAAGAGATCGCTTTTAGCGATAAGGTCGCCCATTGTTTTCTCATTGTGATTATTTCTTGTAATTTTTTGTATCTATAATAAGTTTACTATTGTAATCTTTTGGAGGAGACAATGAAGAGTGTCTATCAATGTATGTATTAAGTTGGGATATAAACAAATTTCATTAAAATTCATTCATATATTGAAGCATCTTTGAATAACAAACACAATGCTGTGAATACTGTGTTATAGAGTATAAACATTTGCTGAAGTAGGTTAGGTAGGTTAAGTAGATTAAGCTGTAATTATTAGTGGAAAAAGCTATTAAAATTCTCTCTCAATTTGTCAAAAACGATACATTGAAAATGTGTCATTTTTGACACTCGATGAAATCGTGATGTATGACACGTTATGATAAAAATATATTTTTTTTTATTTATTTAACTCTCTTGTGACAACCCTTACGCATTTGTCGGCATATCAAAGAAGCTTTACTTCTGGGTGTATCACTGTGCATTAAAGTTAAAATAAATAAATAAATATAATGTTAATGTACATATATTTTAACTTAATGATACAAACTGAAATAAATTCATATATACATTATCATCATCATATCAGCCTTTAACTGTTCACTGCTGAACATAAGTCTCGCCATTGGGATGGGGGGGGGGGTTGCCAAAAGTTGTCATGCTTGGCAGGCCGATTGGCAACCGCAGTGAGGCTTTAGAGATGTTTTAAGAGAGACGCTGCTGCCATCCTTATAAATAGAATAAAAATTCCAATAAAAAAAAATGTAAGTATGCTAATCAGACAAAAAATACAAATATGATAACTTGCTCAAATAAGCTATTGTTAGCTATTGTTGCTATTTTTGTTGTTTGCTATTGCTCTTAGCTATTGTTTTTTTAAACTTATTTCGTATAGAGACCCATTACTAATAATTCCTTCCCCCCCATATAGAGGTTGATAGACACATTACTAACAATCAAACCCCTCTCCCCCCAATTTAATGAGTTATCACCACCACATTGTACCATCTAATTTGTTCACAGCGTGACAAATAACTTGTTAAGGTTAATGTAACGACACTGTGAGGTCGTTGAATTCTATTTGCCAGTCTTGTAAATTTGCTCTGGCTATCAACTCGAAGTTTGCATCGTCTTTGATTTGAATACCGCCACACGGGGCGTTTTGTAACACGGCCTTGGATTCGTACAGACAGACGTTCGGAACGCTGTTGATAGCACTAGTCTTAATTTACAAGAAAACAATTTAAAATAAACAATAATAAAAAGGAGAGACTAATTTAAAACTGAGTATACTAAATTAAAAAAAAATAGAATTTAGTTTTATTATTAAAAAGTTATTATTTAATTTAATTATAATTTTAATATTAGTAATTTGATTGAGTATTATTATTAGAGTATTATATCGCCATGTCGGTCCCGGCATAGAATAGGCCACCCCTTCCTTTTTTGTGGGTGTCGTAAGGGGCGACTAAGGGAGGACAAGGGATGAGTGGCAACGTCCCTCTTAAAATATCTTTAAAGCCCAACTGCGGTCGCCAATCCGCCTGCCAAGCGTGGCAATTACTGACAAAGCCCCCAAGGGGGAGCCTTATGTTCAGCAGTAGACAGTTAAAGGCTGATATGGTGATGATGATGATGATTATATCTTAATTTTGTTAAAAAAATAATGAATGCAAAAGTTTATAACGAGTGATGAATGGATGAAATATTTGTTACTGTTTCACGTAAAAACTACTCAATGGATTTGAATGAAATTTGGTACATAGATAGGTTATATCTTAATTTAGCACTTAGAATCACTTACATACTAATTCAAGTAGGTGCAGCCGCGGGATACTGATAGTAATTAAAATATATTAAAAAAATATCGGAGTCTTATACTCGTATTGTCGACTGTACTGTCAGCGTTCAAAACGCTCGTCTATTCAGTTTCTTGCACTGAAAACTGATGATTTCTCGGCGCAGTCGTCTCACTTTCAAGTCATTGGAAATATATGGATATGACGATAATTTATTAAATGACGTAAATAATATTTGAACTGTTTATAATCCGTTTGGATTAAGCAAAGATACATCTATTATGGACTATATTTTTTAGCCCTGAATATTTTAGCTTAGCATGGTAGGTTATTAGTTTTTATTATTTAATAACTTGAGATCCTTAGTCTCATGGGCGACAAAGTATGCTCTGTTATGTGCATGTACTTTTCATATCTATAGGCGACGGTTACCACTTTCCATCATAAAGAAAAAGAAAAAATATAATAATTTTATAAAACTAACAGCTGAAGTAATCGGAGGTTTTAGTATTTGTAAATGTAAATGTGTTAATTATTATATACTTTATGCTTCATGAATATAAACAAATCATGCAGTTTCATTAAAATTTGTATAAAAAATTGCAAGAATTTTTTTGTTAATTAGAAACCGGGTTCTTGTTATAATAAACATTGGTTTAGAAACACGAAATAGTACAAATTATTCTACCACATTTTACCAATAAAACTCATTCTCTAATCTATTAAAAAAGTTATGTTCCTATTAGGCAAGTGTAATATGGATATCGTTCCAATATATATATATATATATATATATATATATATATATATATATATATATATATATATATATATATATATATATATTGGATTCCTCTGGATATTTATGATGAAAAAAATGTTATCGCCCTTTTCGTACCACCATTTATATTGGTTATCTATTTTTGATAATATTAAAAATCTGTTATCCAATATTATTTTCTGGATAACAGACGTTTTACATATTCGTTATTATACCAGTATCTAGATATTGTAATTACAATTTATAGATATTGCTATATATTACCTACAGTTATTTCATATTACTTAAATAATACAAATCATAATGAATCAGGTCCATTCGTTTCTTTAGTCACAACAGTTGACCATACCACGAATAATCGATTTGTAAACAGTATAAATAATAGTTGGTATACGATTTCAGACAGTCCGTAACTCGCTACCGCGGTGTCCACTCATTGGTTTGTTTATAATGAAAAAAATTACACACAAACCAAACATGTTGTTAAGAGTGAGTTTTTTTCTTTGGCTTTCCATTAACATTGACTGTTTAAGTTTAGATAAAGTGAGTGATACACAAAATGTGACGAAACGTGCAATAAACAATGGTGATTTCTATCCAGATTGGGTACCGTTCAAAAATAAACACGGAGATCAACTTGGAGAGTTTGTGCAGGTAGAGCCCAAAGCGAAACCTAAAAAGAGGCTAGCGTTGCCTGTTAATTTTAAACTTAAGGCTGTCGCTGAGTCTGAGGTAGATGATTATTATGATAAAGGGAAAGGAGAAGGGGACAGTGATGATGAATTTGAAAAAAAAGAATGGTCCGATTTGAATAGACCTGATGAACTAGTTGATCCAGGGCAATCTATTAACCACACAGATATTTCTGATATAGACGGAGTAGTTAAAATTATAACCAAAATCAAACCTAATGTTTTAGCGGAAACTATTAAAAGTCTTACTAAATCAAGAGATAGACTTCTTGCCAATAACAAGACTGAGGAAGGGATGAGTGAATATGCTAAAGAAAAATCTTCAGAAGAATCTAATAACGAAGAAGATAAAGATAACGAGTCAGAAAGTACTAAAGAAAATCCTATACATTTAAATAAGGACGAAATTAAAATTGTACCGAAAGATAACAAAGACCAAGATAAATCAGAAGTTTTAAATAAGGAAGAAAAAGTGCCACGTAAGGAAGAAGATGATGTAGATTATGAAGATGGAATTTCAGAAAAACGTAAAAAAGATTCCGAATCAGAAGACGAAAGACGTGAGAATGAAGCTCGAAAAGCAATGATACTTGGCAGTGTTGATGAGTTAAAAGCACGCCATGAAAAAGAACAAAAGGCAATATCTGAAAGAATCAAAGAAGAAGAACTGTATAAAGAAGAACATGAAAGAGATCAAATACGTTCTAAAGAAGAAATTGACAAATATGGTAATAGAAAACATAAGATAACAGAATACGATGAATATGAGGATAAAGATTCAACAGAAGACGAAAGATATAAGCCAACAACAACTACAACAGTACGACCAAGAAGAATAACTAGACGAAAGCCGAAAAATAAAAACATGGAACATGGCAAACTTTCTGTATTTAAAAATCCTCGTGCTTATATGTTATTTGACGAAACTGATGAAAACATTGAAACTACAACACAATTAACCAAAACCACGAATGTTAAGCACAGTAGATTCTCTTCACGATACAGAGCACCGACAGAAAAGGATGAGCATGTTAGAATATCGTTAGTACCAGAAGAAATCGATCCCAAGGAGCCAACGTTATTCTTTCCACAGAAGAAAAAGAATAAACGTAGACGTAAACAGAAGACTACCACGACTCCCAGTTCAGATTCCACCGTAGCAGAAACAGTAGGGAATACTGCCAAGGATTCAATAACAGAATACGCAGACACTACAGCATCAGATACTGTAACTTCAGCAGTAGATACAGCTCCATCAGCCATTGAGTCTGCTCCATCAGCTATTGAATCTGCCCCGTCGGCTGTTGATACAGTCTCCGTTAATTCAAACTCAGTGAAAGATGCAGTTCCAGCTTCAACTGACAAGAAGGAAGAACATAAATCTGAAGATTATGATCGGGAAAAAGGTGAGTTAATATCAATAACATACTAAAATAACATAATAGTAATCAGACAAATGGTGACCAAAAAAGGCGACTAAGGGAATTCAATGATCAAGGAATGAATAGCAGCATCCCTATTAGAACATCACCGAAGCCTATCTTCGGTTGCCAACTTGCCTACCAAGTATGGCAACTACTGGCAATCCTCCCTATAAAAGGGAGGTCTATATTCAGCAGTAAACACTTGATGGCTGATATGATGATGATGATGAATAAGTCAAAGTAAACGACGAAAATAAATGTTTTTATGATCTCACAATGATTACTGTGGGAGAACGCTGGTATGGAAATTTCGAATATTGTTTCATTAAATGTAATAAAATAAGGGAGAAAGACCAAAAATGTGGACGAAAGGACTATATGATGGTATGGAAACACGGTGTTTTTAGAAAAACAATAAAATTATATAAAAAAATATACAAAGCAAACCAACTGTTAGAGAATCGATAATTCCTTCTAAAACTCCCTCCCTATTCATGCTGTATAACTACAAGCGCCCTCTGTTGCACGAAATGCGATTGTTAGTTTCTTTTTTTTTATACCACTGAGCTGGCAAACAAGCATACGGCCCACCTGATGGTAAGTGGTTACCGTAGCCTATGAATGTTAGTTTTTGACAGTTAAAAAAAGGAACTCATGACGTGTGGTGTGTGTAAAAGAAGAAAATTTCCGAAAGGCTGAAAACTAGTGTCCTGGGACTAAAGAAAAGGCAGCAGACGGAATGCAGTAAGTACTTATCCTGTCCCTTTTATTCGGTTCTCAATGAAATAAATAAAAGAGCAAAATTTTAATATAAATCGAACACCAACGGAGCAAAAAAATCGAACGAAACAAAACTAAACTGACTGACACTTCAAATTACAAACAAAACATCTTTTTGATAAAATTAAAAAAAACCTAAAAAGGTGTGTCGTGCACAATTGCTATATATTTTGTGAAATGCAAACGCGACTTCGCCGACTTCGCCGCGTTAACATATTCCATATTTTACTAACTGGGATAAAAATTAACCTATATTCTTCTTCACCCAAATATACATGTATATTTATTATATGTATATATATATAATATATATATATAAATATATATGTATAATAGTACATGTATACCAAATTTCATAGTGATTGGTAAAGCCGTTAAAGTGCTAAAAGCTACCAGAGGGAGACTTTTTACAAAAGTCGATTGCTTGGGTACCTCTGTCCCATTCGTGTTTCAACCGTGAAGCAGTTGTGTTTGCATGGCTGTGTTTCGGTTTGAAGGATGGGATATGGCGTGAATTTACTAGGTACGGAGGAATAACACCTGAGTCCTCAGGAATGGCAACGCATGGGGGTATCATGGGCGAAACAGTATACTCTGTTATGTCCATGGTACTGCTCATGTCTATAGGCAGCGGTAACCACTTTCCATCAGGTGGGCCGTCAGCTTGTTTGCCATTCTAAGTTGTGTAAAAAAAATACTAACAACCCCTCCCCCCAACTCAATATATAGATTATATCCATATCACAAATACCTATTAGCTTTAATCTATGTAATTATTCAAGAAACAAAGTATTTAAAAAACAAATGTAATTTCCCCATATACATATCGATGAATGTTGAAATAGTACATATTTACAAACAAATACATAGAAGAAAAATACATACTGTATACTACTTAACATAAAAAACTTAAACTTGGAATAGACAGGTGTTCTGAAACATGTTTAGACGACTTAATACAAAAGCGTTTCTATCTGTTTATATCCAAATAAAAGTAAAAAATAAAAAAAAAAATGGAATAAAAGATGTTTCAAAATAATAAATTTTATTATAGTTAAAATAATCTTTTGATTTTAAAAATTTTTATATATTAAATTAAATAACAAATGAACATTATTACACTGATTAAATAATTTTTTTTTCATTTTATAATAATAATAATAATCAACTAAAGATTGATCTTTAGTTTAGTTCAATATATTGAACTATAATAATTATAAAATCGCATGTAGTCCTAACTCCTAAACTAAGGGGGGAAGGGATTGTTAGAAATGCGGGCTACCAGCCCCGTTGCTAGCAATTTATCCTGTCAGGTCGACCTCCATGCGGTTCCGCCTGGAAACTCCATTCCTAACTGATCTGCTTTTTCATTATCCACTTATTATCCCTTACTGGTGCCCCGTCAGCGTATACCGTTAGCGCAGGCAGAGTTACCATTTCATCCATTAAAAAAAGACTCCCAAAGTAACGTTAACTATATGTCAAGGGCCAATGACTTCCCAAGTTACAATTTAGTTACCATCATCATCATAACAGCTTTGAATTGTCTACTGCTAAACATAAGCCTTGGGGGATTTGCCAGTAGTTGCCAAATTTGGCAGGCAGATTGGCAATCGCAGTCAGGCTTTAGAGATGTTTTAAGGGAGACGCTGCTGTCCATCCCTCGCCCTCCCTTAGTTGCCTCTTACAATAGCTACGGGAAAGGAAGGAGTGGCCTATTCTATGCCGGGACCACACGGCCAATTTAGTTATATTTCCATATATATTACAGATTCACATCATTTAATAATATTATATAATTAAATAACAATTTTCTAGTGTGTATTATGTATACGTATGTGCGTGTGTATGTGTGCGTGTGCGTGTGCATGTGCATGTGCGTGTGCGTGTGCATGTGCATGTGCATGTGCGTGTGTGTGTGCGTGTGCGCGTGCGCGTGTGCGTGCGCGTGTACGTGTGCGTGTGCGTGTGCGTGTGTGTGTGTGTGTGTGTGTGTGAGTTAATTATTAATGTTATTGTTGTAAATATTATGGATATACACCAATAGAATATTTTTCTTTCTTTCTTCTTTAATCATTAAGGCAGAAGTTTATTAAATATTGATTTAGGAAAATATTGTTTTAAATTATTTTTGTGGTAAGACCAATAATGTTTTTAGACAATTTAAATAGTGTTTGTTTTTTTTCGCTGGTTACAAAATTACGACAAAATCGTCTTCAGACATGTTGTGTTCTACTAAATATTCATTCCTTTTTAGCTATTATTGCGACAGTAAGAGCTTTCAAAGAATCTAAACAGTGAATTATTTAGATTAAGAGTTTATACAGCTCGTCTGTCATACATATAATCTTATTTTTGTTATGTTTTATATGATGGAGACGTTGATAGTCAACGAAGTAAGGGTACATGCATAAGACAAGTAATTTGTGTTGCTATTATGTCGTGTTGCTACCATGATGCAGTTGTGTTTGCATGGCTGTGTTTCGCTTTGAAGGCAATATGGCAATGAAATTATAGGGTACAGAGGTATCATGTCGACGCATGATTGTCAAGGCATGAGGGTATCATGGCCGACACAGAGCCAATGACACTCTGTCATGAGAATTTTAATTTATTGTCTTAGTTATTGGTATTATAAGAAAATTATCTAAAAAATGATACGTATTTATAAATACTAACATTAATTTTACAGAAAATATTTATTTAATTTGATTATTTTTTTTTTCTTTCCACTACGGTAACTTTCCACTCAAGGTTTGCTGGAAGAGAACTCTTACAGAGTTAAGCTCGCCTGTTGTACATCTTTATTTTGTATATATTATATGTTGTAATTTTTAGTGTACAATAAAGAATAAATAAAAAATAAAAAAAGAAAACTTTGCTTACTATTATGCAGGTAGGCTGTATGTTCATATGATTGGGTTCCGGTGATATAAATAAAATAAACATGTAAATATAATAATTAATAAAGATTGTATTCCGCAAAAAACGAACTTCAATTGTGATACAACCATTTATTTTGATGATTGAATCGATTTTGATAAAATTTCTATTTTATTTTTTTTATTTAACTTTATACAAAATCAACATTCTATATGTAGCACTAAAAATTTAGCTGAATTTAGCTAATATTATACTATGTAATGAGGGTTGAGCGCTGTTGTCTGAGATACAGGTTTTATAACCTAGTTCAGACACAGATGTTTAAGTTGATCCAAATGTATAAAATGAATTCGTACCTACTTTTACTGTAATTTCCATTGCTGAGTTTGTTAAAATCATGGTTATGCAATAAAGTTATTACTATTATTATATTTAATTCTTTATTGTACACACCAGTCATAACAATATGACAGAGGTAATCAAATGTACAAAGGCGAGCTTAACTCTAATAGAGTTTTATATATATTTCTATAAGACCAATCTGTAATTGTATCCTTTCATAAAAAAAAAGAATTATCCAAATCGGTTTACAACTGACGGAGTTATGAGGTAATATACATAAAAAAACAATACAGTAGAAAGCCTCCGTTTTTTTGAAGTCTTTTGAAAATGTTGAATTTCATTGAAATACACTTTCTCGTAATGAAGTAACAAGTAGGCCTTTTGAAGTGAGTTCTAATAATTTTTTTAAAAGTCCTTCAGATATTGGAACTAATTAATTCGTACTTGACGACATTCAAAATTGATTTCACGCGTGACGCTTTTAATGGTTTTATATTTCATTTAAAAGGTTTTTTTTTATTGATGAAAATGGTATGGTAGCGCATACGCTAGCGGAGAACCAGTGAAGGGTGATAGATGAGAATAAAAACAGGCGAGTCAGCCCATCATGATGAATTCATCAAGAATTAATCATGATTGTTTCCAGGGAGAACCGCGAAGAGGTCGACCTGATTAGCAATATACCTAATATTGCTAGCAATGGGATTCTCAGTCTCCATTACTAACAATCCCTCTTCCCCCCCATTTAAAAGGTTTAAATATACTAACATTAACGTTAATTACCACACAAATTTCCCGAACAAATGGAAATACTAACATTATAAAGTCAGTCGCGCGGTCCCGGCATAGAATGGGCCACCCCTTCCTTTCCCGTAAGTGTCGTAAGAGGCACCTAAGTGACTTAACGGTGGATGGGCAGCAGCGTCCCTCTTAAAATATCACTGCAAGCCTAACTGTGGTTGCCAAACCGCCTGCCA